GATAAAAAGTAAATGATAAAATATAGTCAATATTTGTACGTAAAAAAAAAGGAGAACTTAAGGACTGAAGTAAAGTTTTACCTCAAGCAGCTTGTGTAGCAATGTTGTTCATAGAGGTGAAGAGGATGGGAGAATAACAGGTTTGGGAAGTACAAACGATAATTCAATTACAGAGAGTGTATTAGTCAAGATCAGAAATTAAACTATGGACTTTGGACCAAATCCAACTGGCCTCCTGTTTTTGTATGGCCTATAAGCTAAGAATGGTTTTTATATTCATAAATGGCTGAAAATCAATAGAAAAATATTTGTGACATGGGAAAAATATGTAAAATCCAAATTTCAGTGTTACTAAGAAAGCTTATTGGAACACAGCTGCAATCATTCATTTACACATTGTCTTTTGCACTGTAGTGACAGGGTTGAGCCCTTGTGACACAAACCATATGTAACACTAATCTCACACTTCTCCTCAGTGCACTATAAATTACAGCGGCATAGTTACTACTCAGCAGTACTACATGTCACACATATAATCATGATGTGATATTTTATGTAATTTTTATTACCAGTGAATACCCACCAAATCAAAAAAAGGAGAGAAAAGTTGACATCAGATGTTATGCTTTTCAGACACAGTGGAGTGTGGATTACTTTGTTATCGAATTAGACAGCAAAGCAGACTTTGCTTTGGTTTATTATGCAATAACACCAAAGCTATGGAATATATTATGTGATGATATTACCTTATCAAGCATTCACCACAATATTCCCAATTCACGGGAAAGCAACAGTCAAAAAAATTAGAAAGTTTAAAACTTAGTATCTCATCACAGCAGACTCTCTTCACCCAGATATAAATAAAAGTAAGGCTACCACCAAAGTAAATTTCCAAGTGTCTCATTGGTTAGCTAGCCCAACAGGGCAAGTTATCGATGCTGACTCACTTAAATCTGTTTGATTGCAGCAGCCCAAGAAATGTGTGCAGAGAACACTTGCTTAAGAGCAGTAAAACCACTGCTCAAATAGTTGAGAATATGGGGAACAACATCAGTAGTCAAAAACAAAACAAATGCTTTTATGTGCTTTTCAAGGCTCTTAATGAGTCTGCAGTGGTTACCAGTACTGTTCAGTTGTTGTTTATTCAAGGAGTTAATACTGAGTTTGAAGCAACTGAAGAATTAGCCTGAGTGATCTGGGTGGAATAAGTACAGGCAGGAATAATTTCAAACTAAGAGAACATAATTCAATATAAAATGAAGTGGAATCTGCTAAGATGTGTTACAACTAATCATGTTAAAAATATAGATGAAGTAGAAAAAGACACAATTGAATAAATTTACAAAGCTCATGAAGAGTACAGTTTCTGTATGCATTATATGCATCAGAATATTATTAGTTATGTGATATCATACCATAGAGGCAACGGTGAGCTTCGTTTGCTCATGACTTCGTTATTTTGGATTTTTTCATTCTCAAACCTGTGTGAGAAAGAGGAGGACAGGGGAATTCACAACTGTTTTATCTACCATGGAATGGAAGTGACAAATCCCTTCTGCTTGATTTTAGAGTCATCAGAATATAGATGGTATTTAAAGACATGAGAAGGAATGCGAACATCTGTGAGAAAATAGAATGAGAAGGGGCAGGGAACACGCCCCAAGGCACCTCAACGGATACAGCCCCAGTCAGCCAGAAGAAAATATGAGAAGGCCATTGAAAGTGACAGCTGGAAGAGGAAGAAAACCAGGACAGTTTGATGTCACTAAAGCTAAGCAAAGTCTCAGGATGCAATGTGAGGAGGTGCCTGGGTAGCTCAGTCAGTTAAGTGATTTGGCTCAGGTCATGATCTCAGGGTCCTGGGATCGAGCCCCATGTCCAGCCCCACTATGGGCTCCCTGCTCAGTGAGGAGTCTGCTTGTCCCTCTCCTTCTGCCCCTCTCCCAGCTAGTGCTCTCTCTCTCTCTCAAATAAATAAATAAACTCTTTTAAAAAATGCAAAGTGAGAGGTCATGTATACCTGTGGTATCAGTTACCAACTGTGACTAAGGCAGGTTACAACTTCTCGCACACCTGTATATTAATATATTGATAGTACCTACCTCAAAAGATCCATTATGTAGATGAAATGCAAAGTGAATATGAAAGTACTGTGAGCCCTACGCCAACAATGACAGTAATTATTGTCACGGTAGTTACCTGCAGAGACTCCTCCACTTTGTGCCAAATCGGCTTGAAGAGAAAGAATTCTCCCATAACCTACTTCAACCATTGCCTCCACCTTACCACATCAGGTTTTACCAAACTGGTTCGGGTGTGGATAACCACAATCTAATTGAAATTCAGTGATTCCTAATCTAAAACGTTTCTGAGCAAGACCTACCCAAGGATATGAATCTCTCTTTCAGTAAAATGGGAGTGGTGTGTTAAATCCTTACAATCTTTCTGGAACAAATATCCCACTCAAGTTTGCAGCTCCTGAGCCACCACAAGGCCATAGGCAGGCACAGTAAGCTATAGCCTGAATTCTGGTAAATAGTGCCCCAAATTTCAGGGAAATCATAAAAGCAGATGAATGAAAGCTGTGTCTAAAGTGCTCTGGCTGTTAGGCATGATCAACAGTAAAGGTAAAAATAAGCAAATATAAATGTGTCTCTACTTAACTCCGGAACTTTCACTTTATAGATTTTTATTAAAACACATTTGCAAAAGTACAAGGGTTAGTTTGTGTTTTCTTTTTCTTTCTTTTTTTTTTTTCACAATGATATATTGGCACTGTTCAATTGAAACCATATGTTGGCTCGATAATTCACATTTGCAAAATGTGTACCATTTTAAGACCCAGTAAAAACAGAGGGGAGGGGACTAATGTAGCAGGATAAATACTTTTGGATAGATGGAGATACTGTGTTTCCGATCTGTTGGAAAGGAGGAAAGCCTCCTCTTTGATCAATTACCTACAGAGCAGAAATGTAAGGCAATTGATGTAATGGCACACGGGGGTATTGGAAAACAAAACAGAAGATTTAATTCCAGTTTTTCCACCTATGGGCTCTGTGTCCTTTTAAAGCATTTGTAATCTCACTAAGATTCACTTTCACTTCTTCTGTTATGAAGATAATAATGCCTACCTTGGGTAATTGTTACATGGACTAAATAGACTTTAGATAAAGCATTCATATGCAGAGTCATGGTTGAACTTAACACCAAATGAAATGGATGACAACTTAAAGTTCATTCTATACTCTACTCTTCTTTGTTTTCATTTTGTTTGTTTGTTTGTTTGTTTCTGGACATTAATTATGGAAAACTGAAAAGCTGAAACTGGAAGCTTGAACAGGAATGAAAATGAATCTGACCAGTCCTGAGCAACTTCTATGCACCCCTTCACCCAGTGAAAGCTTCTTCAAAGCTAATGTGTATCCCAATGACCCAGGGATCTTGATAAAATGCAGATTCTGACTTAGTGAGCCTCGGGAGGGTTCTGAAATTCTGTTATTTGTAGCAATCTCCAGGTGATAACAATGCTTAATCGCTGGTAAACAACTTTTTTTTTTGCACAAGGGATAATTTAAGGAAAATAAAAAGGTTTATAAGCTACTTTTTTTCTTCAAAATTCAGTAGCTTTATTGAATTTCATGGGGAAAAAAATGCTTGTTATTAGACTTTAGGGTATTAACAATAGCCAACATTATTATTGAGAGCTTACCATGTGCTAATTGCAATGCCAAATGCTTTACAAATATTTGTAAAGAGTCCTTATGTATCTATTACTGTGTTATGTATCTCCATAATAAAAAACCAGAGACCCAAAGAACTTAAATGACTTAACCATGTAAATATTACAGCCAGCTTTTTTAAAACAAGTCTGTTAGATTACTGAGCCTATGCAACTTTCTGCCTGTGGTTTACTAACAAGTAAAATGTCAATGATAAATTAGGCACCATACTTTACAAAAATGTTACTAAAAGAGAAAATGTGATATTGAGGAATATGGAAACTTCTTTCTAATCTCTTTGAATAGAGCTTTAGAGTTCACAAGGGTATTTATATGCATTGTCTTATTTTATCTTGGAGACTCAAGTTCAGTATTATAATTTCTAGTTTATTTCCAATGCCTAGAGCAGGACCTGGAATATAACAAGTGTTCAATAAATACTTGCTGAGGTTCAAAAATTATAAACATCTTTGAATAACAACAACAAAAATTCTTGCTGAAGTAATCCACATACAGATGAATGAATGAATTTATTGGTAGCCCTGCTGAGAAAGATGTAAGGCTAAGATAGACAGTGTGTTGTGATAGATTTGTGATGTGTGCCATGGTGTGGCACAGTCTGTGTTATAGAACTTCCATCTTTGTAGTAGGACGTCAGTCCCGGAGGGCAAGATTAATTTATCCTTAAATCCCCTGGCTTAGCACAGGCAAGACACGGGAGAAAATGAGGTTAAAAAACATGTGGGAACTGGTGTAAATAGATTGGCCTCTAAGAGTCTACTTCCAAAATAAAGACAAAATAGGAGATTAGAGATTGAAATGTGCAAGGGTTGGCTGGTTTACTCGTGGTCACAGCCTGTTCAAACACAGAAGAGGTAGAAGATCGAGGGTTTGTCCACAAAGAATATGGAAAAAGGGAGAGTCAGAGTGACAGTTCTTAACAGTGCCAACTAAAGACAATTCAGCAAAGATGGTGCGGTAGTTAAAGGTATGGCTTCTCCAGTCCTCTTCGTGGCAGGTAAATCCCCATCTGGAGATGGATGTCTCAGTTCAATTTCACCTGGTAAAGTTAAACATTCAAAATATTTACAGCTAACTTATCTTGCACTTGGGGTATGTTAACTGGAGTACCTGAGTCCGTAGTCTCCTCAGAATACTCTGTAATCATTTCACATTCTCATACAGAGCACTGAACAAAGACAAAGGTTGAGGCAGAAATTGACCTCACTCAGGTCACTGATGATAGGTCGGGTTATGGTGTGGTAACAAATAACTGCAAAATTCAGCAGCAAGCAGACCAAAAGTTTATTTGTCACTCATGCTCAGTGTCTAGTTGGCTTGGCAGTGGCCTTCTGCTCATTGCATCACTGGAAGAAACAGGCTGAAAGAGGCTCCACCTTAATACACGCTTCCATAGTCACTTCAGCAGCTGGAAGGGATGGCTTTCAATGTGAATTTCCAGGACCAAAGAGTTCGTCAAGAATTCTCTTCCAAAGACCAATATATTGCCTCTTAAGGTCACATTCTGTGGGGGTCAGCCCTTGGCCCCCGTCAGGCAAGACCTGGGCAGGACACTTCTGACAATTCTATTCCAATACTTGCTGTAGCAAATGGACCACATAAAGGATGTTATTTATATTCTGCTTTATTTGATGTCCATTAAAGCAAGAAATTTATTCTTTTATCACATATCATTCATACTTTGCTAATACTCTTGAGATAGACCTATATTGAAAGGCTCAATTAAAATAATAAGAAGCAATATTAATTCTACCTGATAGGCCTCTTTTCTCTAAACCAATCACTTCTACCTTTCCACCTGGACTCCCAGAAATGGATGTTCTCCGACAGGTGAATGTGGATCTCCCTTTCACTCTGCTCTTCTCCTTCGCCCAACCCACTCCCTTTTGAGCATGAGAAGCTATGCTCATTGCCTTTGGTATAATAGCCAAACAGAAAAAAATATGTATTCAAAATAAGGATGATCACAAAGTGGTCTATTATTTGTTGACTGTCAATACCTTTTAAGTGGTATTTAATACATTTTAATATAGCAGTAATGGATAACACTGTTGGACCCTGGAGAGTTATCCAAACTATCTGGACTTTTACATGCATCTTTATGAAAGTAAGTTCCCGTTACAAGTCTTTTCTCAACAGTTGTATTTTCCCATAACATAACTTTGGCATATTATGGACATTCAATACTCAGAACAGATTATAACAGCTTTTATTCATTCTACAAATGTATAGCGAATACTTACTCTAAATCATACAGTGAAGTTTGCTTGAAGAGCAAGCAAATAGTTTAGAACAAAAATAATGTCAAAGTGATTTTGGAGAGCCATACTAACTTTAAAGCAGCTTTGGACTCCTTCATTCCAGTCCCCAAAGCAAGGATAGCACAGTGGTAAGGAGCTTGGGTGCTCTATCAGGTAGAGTTGTGTTAAAATCTCAGTTCCTCAATTTGCCAGTTTTATGACCAAGGGCAAGTTATATACCTCCGTGAGCTTCAATTCCCTCATCTGCAAAATAGAGATGAAAAGTGGTAATCCTGATTTGCAATGATTACTTAAGTTCTATGTAAAGCACTTAGCCAGTGATAAATGCTCAATGTTGAATTTCTTTAGTTCCAAAATGCATTTTCTATAATGTTTTAACAGCTCTGAAATTGGGAAGCGTCTTACAATAGATGTGTAGTGTAAATGCGTGACCATTAGCTTTTTTTATTGTAATGTCGGTGCTTGACATTAAGCTTTGGTTGTCAAGGCATCCATTTCAAAGACATCCATCTCAAATAAACACATTGGCAGCTACACAACTAGATAAAGGGCCAGGCCTCCCCACCCATGAGTTTCCCCTTTTAAAAAGCCCTGTCTGAGTAACCGTGCTTTCCCTTCTCCAGGCTTACGTCCCACTCATATGTTTTAAATTCCCCAATTAATAGTGAACCTGGAAAACTCTAGGTGTCTCTCTGTCTCTTTCTTTCTCTCTTTGCCTCTCTCTTTCTCTCTCTCTCTCTTACTGCTACCTTATCTGTGGCCCTGGGTGTGGTATGCATCCTCCAGGACTTGTGAGTAAGAGTGTTTCAAAGTTTCCTGACGGTTGTCGCTGAGGTGTGTTCTGCAATCATAGTAAGAACCACAAGGTTCAGTCCAGGAAGAGTATTGTCTCCAATCAGGAAATGTCTGTTAGGGCTAGTATGGGCACAGGTGAGTGCCCCCAGGCATTTCTACCTTACAGCATCATAATCAAGAGGCTCAGAGCAACTCAGAACAAGAGAACAATTTGTAGTCTCTGTTGACTCGGGAGCATCTGTGAGGTCAATGTCATCCTTTGTGCTTGTGTGATTTCAACCATGGATGCCCACATTATTGTCACTTCAATTGATGTATGTGCATAGTTGTTTGTATATGTGCCGAGTGTCATTGGCTTTTTCGATGTCTTTTAAAAAGATAGCACTATGATTCCAATTGAAACAAAAGTTAAAATGTATTCTTGAGGTCACAGAAAATGAATATTGTGACATTTGATATTAAGGACACAAATATCATTGTTGAAAAATCACAAAATTCCGTATTTTCTTGCAAAGCAACAATCAAGACCTAAGAAAGATACCTGATGGGGAGAACAAAGGCAGAAAGAAATGCAGGTAAAATTAAATTTCCTTATAACCTGCAGCCCACCGACAAATACTTGAGGCAGGTGGAGTATAACATTCCTTCAGCAAACTCCCAACAGTCTTAATGTTAATGTTTCGCTAGAGGGAAAAACAATATTAGCTTGACAATAGCTAGGCCTCCAGGATCCTGTGAGTCTTCTTTAGCATTTGAAAATCCTTGTGGAAACTCCCCTTTATCTTTCCTTCCCCCAACCCCAAAATATACAATCAGTTGCTCCTCACAATCCTGGGGCACCAGTTCTTTCTGCCCATGGGTCCCGACCCCGTGCTTCAATAAAACCACCTTTTTGCACCAAAACATCTTAAGAATTCTTTCTTGGCCATCAGCTCTGGACCCCAGAATTCCAAACCACATCGATACCTGCAAGTAAATGAGGCTGTTAACGTTTTCTTACTTAGGTATCTACAAAAAGATTATCTATAACACACCAAGCAGTAGAAATGAAGACAGGATAAACTGATATAGGGAAGAGGTAAAAGGAAACGACAAGCTGATATGACAAATTCATATTTTACATAGCACAATAGGGCATTAAACAAGAATTTGTAAAAAAAAAAAAAATTCCTTCCAACTTTGAACTTAAGTTCCGGAGCTATAGGATCATGAAGACAAAAACAAGAGAGGAAGGAAGGAAGGAAGGAAGGAAGGAAAAGAGGGAGGGAGGGGGGAAAGAGGGAGGGATGAAGGAAGGAGGGAAGGAAGAAAGGAGTTAATTTCTCTTGTACTTTCCTTTAAATATACTCCCAAAATGGATAAATGATAAAAGTTTATGTTTAAATAAGTCTAAAAGGGCTTTATCAATAAATTATTTAAAAAAATATTCAAGAGGGGTGGCTGGGTGGCTCAGTCACTTAAGCGTCTGCCTTCTGATAGGTCATGATCCCAGGGTCCTGGGATCCAATCCCGCATCAAGCTCCTTGCTCAGCAGGTAGCCTGCTTCTCCCTCTGACTGCAGTTCCCCCTGCTTGTGCTCTCTCTCTCTCTGTCAAATAAATAAATAAAATCTTTAAAAAAAATTAAAAATACTCTAAGAGCATTCTGCTAGAGTTTTATTGACTTTTTTTTTTCCTTTTGGTACACAAAATGATAGTACATCTTAAAGCTGATAACATCTTAGACTGGATGAAATATGACAAGGGTTAGCTATTGTTATAGCCATATCTCTGCAACATTAGCAAGATTTCTCTCAAAAATATTTATCAATAGAAGACAGTGCCACTTTACACTTTTAAAGTTGCTCCAGGGGCGCCTGGGTAGCTCAGTCGTTAAGCATCTGCCTTCGGCTCAGGTCATGATCCCAGAGTCCTGGGATCGAGCCCCGCATTGGGCTCCCTGCTCTGCGGGGAGCCTGCTTCTCCCTCTCCCACTCTCCCTGCTTGTGTTCCCTCTCTCGCTGTGTCTGTCTCTGTCAAATAAATAAATAAATAAAATCTTTAAAGTTGCTCCATGACTATCAGGGTCCATTTTACAATATGTACAACAATGACCAAGCATTAGACAAAAATTAAAAATTCAGTCATTTACCTATTTCTTCCATCTCAAGTAAGGTTTGGTAATCTCCTGTGACTTTTCTCCTGGGGAACTTCTGGTAACACTTCTAGGCTCAGACACATGATTGATTTGCCTGTTTAATCCAAGAAATGATTCAATAGATTTTTCCCCAGTGAACTTCCTGCCAGGGCTGTAAGCTCCCAATCTGAATAATAGTCTATAGACCATAGAAGGCATTAGAGAGCATTCTCGATATCATAACCAGGGCTAGCCCTCGAGAAATGTTGCCCATCATCTAAATTTGTCTTGAGTGTTAGCCTTTTTCCCCTTAATAACTCATTGTAGGTGTGCACACACATGCATGCACACACAGTACTCTTCTGACTCTCAGCTGGCTATGAAAGAGCAGAATAAAGAAAGCTAAACATAAGCAATGTGCCAGGAGAAAATATTTTCAGTTCTAACAGAGTGATAACCTGAGTACATGTGGTATTTTTTTGGTCTCCTACAGTCTATTTGTGAAAGGATGCAGTGAAAGAAATGCAAATAAAAATAAAATAACTCAAATTGAAGGTTTTAAGTTCCCAATAGTTCAGATTCTGGCATAAATAATAGATTTGCAGGAAGCGAAACAGTTTCCTACTACAGAGAGAATACACACAACTTCTATGGGCTGGAGGAAATAGGAAGAAGATTTTCAGAGAAAGTAAAAGAGTTAGACAGAATTTGGTAAGCCGGCATTTTTCCTACTCCAAGAATAGAGCCCTGGGGTAGGAGTAAGGGAAAACAATAGAACCCCTAATATAAACTCAAATCCCAAAGTAGAAGACTCGTGGGCCTTTTTTCTTGGGTGCAGCCCAGAAAAATGAAAAGCACTTTAAAGAAATATCTCACACTTGCCAGGACAACTATAGTAGCTGTGATAGGGGACCCACTGAATCTGGAGGTACTGAAGGACAACAAGACCCTCACAATCTCCCATGCTACCAGAGCATATAAAAGGGGAGGAAAGATGGCTAGGTAAATGGCCAGTTTTATGCTGACCTTCTAGTGTCCTTACCATGGCTGGCCTCTCACTCTACCAACATCCTACTGCTGGATTTACCATGTGGTATGTCTGGTGGGTCCAGTGATTTATACCACCATGGCAAGAGTGATCCTCCTTTGAGGCCACATCTTCTCTGGCTTCATTTTTTGAAAGATACTTGTCCTGGATACAGAATTCTTGGTTGATAGTTTTTTGGGGTTGTTGTTTGTTTGTTTTTATTCTTTCAGTAACTTAAAGATTCTCTACTGTCTGCTGGCTTACATTGTTTACCACGAGAGAAATCTGCTGCCATCTTTGTTCCTCTGTTCACAATTTGTCCTTTTCCTTCAGCTGACTTTTAGGTTTTCTCTTTATTACTAGTTTTAAGTAGCTTGATTCATGTTTATTTTATTGTTTTTTTTTTTAAGCTTTTTGGATGTGTGGCTTTACAATTTTAATCAAATTTGGAAAAGTATTGACTATTGTATCTCCAAATACTTTTTCTGTTTATCCTTCTTTTTCTCCTTCAGGAACTGCAATTACATACACATAGGCTGCTTGAGGTCATTCCACAGCTCACTGATAACTGTCTTCATGCTTTTTTAGTCTTTTATGTTTCTGTGATTCATTTTGGATATTTTTTAAGTCTTCAAGTTCGCTAATCTCTTTTTCTGCCATGAGTTATCTCTACCTTTAATCCAATAGGGTTTGTTTTACATCTCGGGCATTCTTTTAACTCTATAGTTTAGTTTGTTTCTTTTTTATACTTTCTATGTCTCTACTTAATATCATCAATATTTCCTCTTGCATCTTGAATAAATGAAAAGCAATTATAATAACTTGAATGTCTTTGTCTAATAATTCAATTATCTGTGTCAATTCTAGTTCAGTTGAGATTGATTGATTTTTCTCCTCATCATGGGTTCTGTTTACCTAGATGAGGAATGTCTGGTAATATTTAATTAAATACTAGACATTATTAATTTTAACTTGTGTGTTAGCTATTTTTGTATTCTTATAAATATTCTTCAGTTTTGTTCTGGGATATGGGTACATTACCTGGAAATAATTTGATCTTTATAGGTTTTGTTTATAAGCTTTTTTAGTATGGCTCAGAGCAGCATTTAGAATATGGCTAATACTTCTCCACTATTGAGGCAAAATTCTTTCATGTAATCTACCCAACATTCAGTAAATAATGAAGTTTTCTACTCTGCCTGGTTGGAATTGGACCTCTTTTCAGCCCTGTGTGAGCTCTAGAGATTGTTCCCTCTAATCCTTCCAGTGGTTCTTTCTCCACTTCTGGTAGTTTCCTTTCATGCATGTGCTGATCACTACTCAGCTGAAGACTTGAGGAAGACCCTCTACAGATTTCTGGAGGTCCTCTCCACTACCCTGCTTTGTAAACTCTAGCCAAACTAGCCTCCCTGGACCTCCAGCCCCATTTCTCCACCTGGTGTACCCTTCCTTATACCATCTCTGGTTTTCCAACTTTCTGGGGTCATTGTCTTCCTTGCCTGATGCCCAATGTCTTGAAAACATTTTTAAAGATTTTATTTATTTATTTATTTATTTGAGAGAGAGAGCACAAGCAGAGGGAGGGGCAGAGGGAGAGAGAGAGGGAGAAGTAGACTCCCTGCTGAGCATAGAACCTGACAATGCAGGCCTCAATATCAGAACCCTGAGATCATGACCTGAGCTGAAGTCAGACACTTAACAGACTGAGCCACCCAGGTGCCCCTTGGAAATTCTTATTTAATGTACTATGTCAGGTGCTTTAGTCATTTCAGGTTGGAGGGTATATTCATCTTCTGTCATCTCATCTTAGCAAGAAGCACAAAATAGTGTAATATTTTTTCTAGTGTCTTAAGTTTACTGGTAATATTTGAGTTCATATATTCTGATGATATTCTGTTTGGGGTGATCTGGGATGGCAGTTTTCAATCAACAGTCTTTCTTCCTCAAATTAAAAT